TGGGTTTGCTCGTTGTGTTTCTGATTCAAACGCAATGAAAGCACTCATCAAAACCCTCAAAAGGTTGACTAACATACTGCCAGTTATCTTGGATTAATTTAATGAATAATGTTTATTATTTTGGAGTACCACTCATAGACATTCCACCCCTCACTACACTCCAATCCCCTTTCAGAAAAGGTAAACAAAACTGGAAGCTGATCTTGATAGAGTTATTTGTTTGTCTCTCACTGTGTGTGTGCCCTAAGCAAGCAAATATCTAGATACATATCTATCTGTATCTCTTATGAATCACCTGTGCACACATTAAATAATACAATTTGCATTACTACTCCGCACCACCTTCCTCAAAGCTGTTGCACATTTTCCGCATTTAAAGTCGTGAGCAATTAGCCAGCATTTCCTCATCAGAAGTCTCTCATTTTCTCTCTCTCTGTGAACAACCATAAAAGGCCAGCTATCTGACATTCTGTTCCATTTACCCTGGCTAGAGACACATTACCTACCCCCCTGCTGCACCTACGACTGCCCCTCTGCTGCAAGCAGCAAGCAACCAGCTGCACCTCCTCCTCCTGCTAGCGGCTTATCTAATTTTCAAAGTTAACGCAGTTTCAATGATTGGCCAAATGGAATTTTGGCTGGAATTTCTGTTTCTGTTTGATTCTTTTTGGTTGTTTTCTCTTGCTGTCGCTTTCGATGACATCACGCACTGGCGGCCAATCCTAACGTGAAGTGACGGGTTGGACGGCAGGAGAAGGGGAAACCTTTCCTGGGGGACCTTTCATTAATCTTATCAAAAAGATGCTTTTGCTACCTTTTTATTTTATTATGCTTCGTTTTCGTTTATGTGGCAGACCTTTGGCAAGACCAGAGACCTTTTTTTTTTGGTTGTTGTTGCTTGAAAGTGTTTTGGCAGTCATGAGATCATACGTGACCGGGGAGGGAACTACTTTACTACACTCCTGAATAACTCTTTGTAGAGTCCACCTGCAGAATCCTCTCTCGAATACTCCTCCATGGCCATTCTCCTGGGAAGTGCCAGCTACTCTGTAGAGCCCATCAAATGTTTATCCACAAAGCTGTATCTTTTTGGGTGTGGGCGTATTTTATGATGCTGATTATTTTGCTTGTATCCACACATATAATTGAAATATAAGTAAACAGGTCATTAGAGAAATCCGCAGATAGAAAGCATTGGAATTCCAGCCAAAACCTCTGCCAAATCTCTTTGCTAATCTGCTAATCTGCTCGTAGTAAACAAAAGAACCCGAAGAAATAACAATAAGAACGAGCAGGTGAAGAGGAACAATGCCAAAGGTCAAATGAACACTTTAATCAAAATGTCAATGAGCAAATAAAACGCAACAAACGACTGCCCCGAGACGTGCCACAAGAAAAGGTGATTCGGATGCCAAAAACTAAACGAAAGTTGTCTCTCTCTTCTCTTATTTTTTGTGGGTTCTGCTGGTGTTGCTGGTGTTGCTGCCTCCAGCAAAGCGTTGCCAGAGGCCACACATAGCGGCGTGCGGCAATCAAGCAAAGAAGAACCACAGCAGCAGCAACATTTTTGATGAGTCAAATCACAAAGAAAAAAACGAAATTAAAAACCAATTTATAATAAAAAATTAAAAAAGAATACGGGTCACAATCACACGTTAAACTAGAGCTACCAGTCTCAAGTACAGTTACGCAGTGCAGTTACAAGTGAAAAATGGTGAAAATGCTCGATCTGGACCGTCACGCAGAGTGCCCACTGTGGGCGGCATTGGCCTCATCGGATGTCCCTTGGACGGGCATGGACTATGCCTGCCTCAATGTGCTCAGTATTTACTGCAAGGTGTTTGATAGGAAAGAAATCTACGATCTCATTGTGAGGTAAGAACTGCTGAAAGCAGCCGCTAGGCGGCGACAGCGAGCAAAAGCTTTTATGTGGCGAAGCTTTCCGTGTGGCAGTGGTGCGAAATATGCGGGAAAAATGTGAATTTGTCAAGGAATATGGCAGAGACTTGAAATAATTTAAATTACAAATAATTATGCAATCTTTTAGCTGCCGTTTCTTATGTTTTCGCTTCTCCTCCTTCTTCCAGGAAAACCTGCCAGTCGTGCAAGTGTCCTCGCGAGGCGCACGCCATTTACCAGCAACAGACGACGAATGTCCACGAGAGATTGGGCTTTAAGCTCGTCTCGCCAGCAGACTCTGGCGTTGAGGCGCGTGATCTGGGCTACACCTGGGTGCCACCCGGGGTGCGTGCCTCGTCGCGGATCAATCGGTACTTCGAGCTGCTGCCGGAGGAGGCAGTGCCGCGGCTGGGCAGCGAGGGGGCCTGCAGCAGGGAGCGACAGATTGCGTATCAGCTGCCCAAGCAGGATCTCTCGCTGGAGCACTGCAAGCATCTGGAGGTGCAGCATGAGGCCTCGTTCGAGGACTTTGTGACGGCACGGAATGAGATAGCGCTGGATATAGGTGAGTGTCCGGCCGTCCTTGGGTCTCCTTGCCTGCGATGACTCAACCAACAATCAACCAATTCCTTTTGCTGATAGCCTACATCAAGGATGCCCCCTACGATGAGCATTGTGCGCACTGTGATAACGAAATTGCGGCCGGCGAGCTGGTTGTGGCGGCACCCAAGTTCGTGGAGAGCGTCATGTGGCATCCAAAGTGCTTCAGCTGCAGCACCTGCAACTCGCTGCTGGTGGACCTCACCTACTGCGTTCACGATGACAAAATCTACTGCGAGCGGCATTATGCGGAAATGCTGAAGCCCCGCTGTGCTGGCTGTGACGAGGTGAGTCCTGCCTTTAATTTCTCTCCTCCTTTCTCTAACCAACCAACCCATCGATCCCCAATTGACAATTATTGTGTGGCATACTTTGGGGCAAGCGCCACCAAAGATTGTATCGTGTGTGTGTGTGTCGTTGAGTGTGGGGAGCCTTTGGTTTTTATCGCCTGCCACACGCAGTTCACATTTATTGCAAAGGTGCGGCTATCGCCCTACCATCCATACATCCATCTGTCCCTTCCACTCCCCTAAAACAATCCCCTGATGCCCTTCCAAAAGGTTATGGCATTTTCATTGAACTTCACTTTGGGGGCCTCTAGACACAAGACACTAGACAGGAATGCTTCCCAGCTCCAAATGCAGCTCCAGCGCTGGCCGACAGTTCATTGGCAGCACTGTTGCTGTTGCGTCGCGCAGAGCGGAAGTTCTTCTTTTCTTGTGGGTAAGGCGGAAATTACACGGCAAAACAAATCTAAGAAATACTTTGCTTTGATGTGACTGATGTGACATTAAAAGAAAGATCTCAAACAGCAGCTAAACGGGCTTCGATTGATACAATTTCTGCTTTCAATTATGGAAATTTGTAAGCGATAAGCGATTATTATGTGTCGAAATCGTATAGAAATCTGAGGAACAATTCTAATAATCATCATAAAAGTTTTCTAAATATTTTAAATAGATCCAAAATAGGTGTTTCGTGAGTGAAATTTGTGCTGCAATCAACAAGTCTTTGTTCAAGGGTCAACTTGGAAACTTTCAAGCAGTTTTGTGATACAATTTCTTATGACGTGTATTCCTCCATTAAAGTCCCCAAACAGAGAAGACTTTCCAAGGTTTAATGGCATATAAAATATTTTATATTTCCTCCCCCAATTAGCAAGAATTTCCTCACCCAAATTCGCGCAATAAATTTTACAATTATTTTTCAATTATCAGATTCCCCGCAAATTTTCTTGTGAAAAAAAAAACAACACAAAGAAGAACTCATTTGGTAAAAACAATGCATATTAAAATATATGTATGGTTATTTAAGAATATTCAATTCAATATTCTATTCAATTTTTTGTTCCCCACACAAAAGAAAAACTTTCACTTTCAATAAATAAATCCACAAACAGCCGTGCCCAGAGCCACATAGATGTATGTTTTTAGATACGTTTATCTATGTATTTTTGGCACATTTAATGAGTACGTAAAAACGTATTTTCAAAAATAAACAAAAGGCAAAAATAGTCTAAATGCAAAAAATGTGGGACAAGTGCACAATTATGCACAAATTAAATATAATTATGGGGGGGCTATTGTTGTTGATGATGCCTGCAGCATGCCACATCGAAAACATAGAGAAAGAGTGGCAGAGGATACCCAGACACAGAGAGAGAGAGAGAAACCCACTCGGAGAGAGGCAGAGTGCTTGCTGCTGCTCCCAATGTTAGTGTCAGTGCCAAAAGATTCAATTTATGACATTCATTTTTTGGGGCTGTCGTTGCTGCGTCGGCGACCCTGGCACCGGTTCTCCGTCCCCAATCCTCAGGCATTGGCTATGCAAAGGAGAGACAGATTGGGGAAACATAAGTACAGTAATTGGCATGAATGAAGGGATAGATTTAGGGCGCAATTTATGTTTTATGATGAAAGGAAGCTGCTAAATCTATCAGAATATTGGAGGTAGATTCAAGAACAGTGCAGAAAAAGTGATGGAAAGGTTCCCCCGCTGCTTATCCTACTGCACATACACTTTTGTCGCACACTGTATGCCTAAAGAAAGGTGCGAGCAAAGCAAAAACACGGCGGGAAAAGTATTCACTGTGTTTTTTGTGAAAACTGTGAAAAAAAGAAACATACAGAAATAGCAACATAAATAGACCCCGAAAACTGATTAGAAAATTCGCTTTTTGCCAATTGCTTTGGCATTTGACACAGCGCCAGGGCCAGCGCCAGAGCCAGAAACCAGCGACCGAGACCGAGTCCCAGAGTACCCAGAGTACCCAGAGGCAGTGCATCCATTGGTGGCCATCGCCTGCCAAAAGCTTAGCCGCTGCCTGTCTTGTGTCACTCTCACTCTCTCTCTCTCGCACTCTTGCTCACTCTCTGCTTTTGGCCGCGTCAATTAGCGCCATTTGGTGGCTATTTCTTTTCGGCCAATTGGTTGTTATTGCGCTCTTTGTGATTCATGCGCCCGCTCTTTGTGTGTCTTGGGGGGGCCCTTGGCCGGTTGCCGCTGCTGTGGCATTAATCAGTTGCAAGACGATCGATTAACGGAGAACAAGAGCCAGGCCAGGTGCAACCATATGTGGCTGCTTCGCGCTGGTAGTCGCCCCCCAATCTCCAAAAACGTCTCATCCTGACCGCGCAACGGATTTCGATCATTTTATTCGAATTTTCCAATAATTTATGGATCGTTTGGATGTGAATTCGCGTAGCAGAAAGATTGAAATAAATATTTGTGGGGTGAATTACCTAATCAGTTGGCCATTAACGTGAGTGCCCCGTGCCCCGTGCCCCGCGAATTCCGAATCGTGCGAGTGGTGAGTGTTTTTGCCGAGAGTCTGTGCGAGTGCGTGGTGAATAATTTATATAATTCGCGGCGCACCATCGAATCCCCCGAGCATTGCATTGCTCGTTTGTACGTCGAGCAATACGGATTACAGATACTGAATCCGATTCCGATTCCGATTCCCATTTCGATTCCGATTCTTACGCAAGCAGAATGCCATCGGATGAGGCGCTGACCGGCATCGGGGAGCTGATCTTCTCGCTGCTGATCGGCTATCTGGGCGCCCTGGAGTGTGCGTTGGTGGTGCGGCATTTGTACCATTGCACCTTTCAGCACTCCGCATACACGGCCACAGATGCAGCGGCGGACAATGAAGAGCTGCCACGACTGCGCGAGCGCCTGGAGAAGGAGATAGCCGAGGCGGCAGAGCGGGAGGCGCGCTCCGGCACCAAGGCCATGCAGGATGGTGTCCTCTACGACAACAAGGGCTTGCGCGTGGATCCCGAAGGTGATAAGAGAGCGGCGCTGGCAGCAGAATTGGAGCGACAGCGGCAAATCGAGGAGGAGACGCGACGACAGCTGGCGGAGGCACAGGCCCGCCTGGCAGAGGACCGTAGAAAGGCCAAGGAGGCGGACGAGAAGATGATCGAGCAGCAGAGAGAGGAGCGCAGGCAGCGCGAAGAGAATGAGAGAAAGCTAATCGAAGCGGAGAAGCAAAGAGAGGCAGAACAAAAGCAACGCGAAGAGCAGCAGCGAAAGCTTCAGGCGGCCGAAGAGCAAAGAGAGCGCGAAGAGAACGAGCGCAAGCTGATCGAAGCCGAAAGAGAGCGCGAAGCCAACGAGCGAAGGAACCAAGAAGCCGAAGAGCAACAAGAACGCCAAGAGAACGAACAAAGGTTGATCGAAGCGGAACAGAGACGCCTGGAAGCCGAACGCCAGCGAGAGCTTGAGGAAGCCGAGACGGAAGAGAGCGAGCGACGCCTGTTCGAGGCGGAAGTCCGGCGAGAGCGTGACGTGGAAGATCAGGAACAAAGGGATGCGGAGATTGTAGAACGTCTTCTGGCGGCAGAGCGGGCAAGAAAGATGAGCGCCACGGAGAGCGAGCTGGAGGAGGAGGCGCTGGAAGAGGAGTCGCGTCGCCTGCTCTCCGGCCGAGTGGATGCGGCGAGCAAACAGAAAATGATCGAGGAGAACGCTAGGCTCTTCCTGGAGGCCGAGGAGGAGATGGTGATGCTGCAGCAGCGACAGCTGCAGGCAGCCCACAGCAGGGAGGACGAAGCCGAATATGCGGGCGCCGTGCCCGTGGAGGAGGAGCTCTGCGTGAAGAAGATACTGCCGCCCAGATTGCAGGAGCCGGAGGCCCAGGAGGAGCCCATGGTGGTGCACAAAGTGAAGACGCAGTACAGACAGTCGAAGGGCCCCAGCTTCCCGGGCGTGTCCGACGAGGGATCCTCCTTGGAGCCAAATTCCAGCCAGCAGTCGTCCTTCAGCACACAGCCATCGGAGGATTTGCTACGCACAGAGGAAGAGCGGCCAGAGCCCGAGGGCGAGGATCACACGCCCGACATGCAGTACACGGAGGACTATCTGCGCTCCCTGGACGGCATCAAGAGTCGTCCGCTGATGCGAGAGGATGGATCCGGCAGGCGGCGAGCCTTCAAGAAGCGCCGCTCCAGTGGCAGCTCCAATTCCTCGCGTGACTCACGCGCCTCCCGCGACGAGGAGCTGAAGATGTTCACCTCGCTGGAGGAGGAGGAGCTGCGCCACGGCGACCGGGAGGACTACAATCCCATCAAGTACACCAGCGAACCCACGCTGCGGGTCAAGTCCCATCACAGGCGGCACAAGCGCAGTCCGGCCAAGGACATGATGCCACCGCCGGAGGCCGAGGCGAGTGGCGTCTCCCTGGAGATGCTCGGCGAGGAGAGCACCAACCCATGGGGCGAGGTGATGCCCGAACACTACAAGGACACGGAGTTCTGGAAGCGCGAGAAGGCATTGTCCATCGATGAGGAGGAGTTCGATTTGGATTTGTCGAAGAATGAGCAGAAGTCCTCTTCGTTCGAGGATGCAACGGATGCGCAGAATGAGGAGGCAGCCACCGCATTGCTGCAACAACGCGCCAAGGAGCAGCCGGTAAGTGTGGCAGAAAACTCTCTCTCTCTAAGGATTCTAATTGAATCTCTTCAATGGCAGGAGGACACCAACAAAGCGGCGGAGAGCAGCGCCAGCAGCGACAACAAATCGAATGTAAGTGCGTAGGTCAGAGGTCAGCCAAAACAGAGGTTCCCAAGAGTCCTTAACCCTCGCACTTTCTGCTTTTTGCTCTGCGCTTTAACTGCTTTTTCCCTCTTTGCTTTTTCATATTCGCTTACGCTTTCGCCTACGCTCTTTCCCCCGCTTTCGCCACCGCTTTCTATCCCCTCCTCAAGCTGCGCACCTCTCCCGCAACGGAGGAGCAGTCCAAAGGCGGGTCACCCGGCCTTCGACGCAGTCCACGCATCGACGAAATGGAGCACTACGCGGAGCGCTGGTCAGCCACACAGCCGGAACAGCCGCCGAAACCCAGCATCAATGTGCAACAGCCGGACACGGCACCGTGGCGCGATCAGTACGGACTGATGATGGAGGGCCTGAGCGACTTTTACGACTTCCAGGCCTCCGTGAATCCCTCACGTTCGCGTTCCACCTCCCGCAATCCCTCGCCACAGCCCAAGAATGTGGCCAATCGCATGGATGTGGACATGGAAAAGTCTTTGGAGGTCTACGACGACACACAGAACGGGGTGATGGCGGGGGAGCTGAGTTGCGAGTTGGTGCTGCAGCTGCTGGAGACGACAATGAATGCGAATGAACAGCCAGCAGAGCAGCTGAAGCTGCAGAATGTGGCAGATGATGCGAGCAATGGAAGTCCCCCAGTGGCCATGGTCTATGCCCCCACAGAGAACTCGCTACGCGAGGAGACAGCCAGACACTCACGCTCCCGTTCCCCACTGCCAACCAGCGAGAATCTCGAGCGCAGCATCAGCCAGCGCAGGCAGCGTCTGATCAAACACAACGACGAGATCATGGAACGATTGTCCAACTCCAGTGGCAGTGATGGACGCAACAGTCCCATGGAAACGGAAGCCAATGGAAATGTAACGCCACCGCTGCCCCAGCCCGTAATCGAAATCAATGACATGGCCATGGCTGAGCCCATGGAGGAGGTGGAGCCCCAGCCGACACTGGAGGAGCGGCGGCTGTTTGTGGAAACCCTTCGAGCGGAGCGCAATTCGCACTCTCGATCAAGCTCCCGTTCACGTTCGCCACTGCCCACGGCGGATAATATAGCCAAGAGCCTGGAGAGCCGTCGCCAGAGGCGCATCCAACACAACGATGAGATCTTTGAGAAGCTACACCTATCGGAAGAGGAGACAAATCCTGCAGCTGCCAGCATGCCCATCCCCTGTGTGTCCATTGAGATTGAAGCCCCACCCGAGGAGCAGCAGATTGAAGTTGAAGCCGTCGAGGAGGAGGACACACCCGAGAGCATGGCCCGACTCTTCGAGCAGCTGCGGCTGAACCGCGTGCGTTCTCACACACGTTCCCGGTCTCGCTCCCGTTCGCCGCTGCCAAGTGCCGCCAATCTGGAGCACAGTCTGGAGCGGCGTCGCGATAAGCTGATTGCCCAGAACGATCTGTTCTTTGAGCAGCTCCAGGAGCGGGCCAAGACCCCCGAGCCAGAGCCACGTCTGACCGTGGAATATGTCTACGAGTTTGTTCAGGAGGAGACAGCCAGAGATCATCCTGCGGATGGCAGGGATATGCGTTCGCTCTCGCCCTCACGCTCCCGTTCCATGACACCAGCGGAGCAGAAGGCGGAGCAAGAGCTGAGTGAGGGCCATGACTTCCATCGGATGCTCAATCTGGAGGGATCCGATCAGCGCACGCTTCGCAAGAACAGCGAGGAGGTGGAGAGTGTCCTGGCGTCGAGTGTCAAGCAGCGAGAACTGGATCTAGAGGCACTGCAGCAGCTGCAGCATGCCAGCGAGGAGATTGAGTTGCGTGTCCTCAGTCCCACGGGTTCCGAGCGTCAGCTAGTGGAGGAGATGACCAGAGAGGTGCCAGATGCCGCGCGAACCGTGTCCGAGGTGGCCAGGGATCTGCAGGATGAACTGGTGGCCCCAGGCTTCAAGCGTTCCACCTACGTGGGTGAGTCCCTGGACCAAGTGGAGGATACGGCGGCACAGCGGGAGCTGCAGGCAGCCATTCTGGACTCGATCACGGAGAATCGTTTGGGTGCCAAGCCCAAGACCTTTGCCGAGGAGCTAAAGGACACGCAGCGCATGAAGGACGAGTCGCTGGCCAGCGGCTTTAAGCGCTCCACCTACGTGGGTGAAATGTCGCAGGATATGTCCGCTGGACAGCTGGACGACCTGCGTCATCGCACGGCGGAATTTCAGCGCTCCCGCAGCCAGAGTCGTTCCCCACTGCGCGGCGAGGAGGTGGCGCTGCTGCGGGACATTGACGAGGAGGTGGCCAAGCGGGAGCTGCAGGATCAGCTGCTGGACAGGCTGGCTGCCTCCAGCGTGAACTTTGAGAACTTTTCGCGGCATCTGAATGCCGATTTCCTGGACAGCGAGCGGCGTGCCTCCGATTCGGCAATCCTCAAGCAGATCGATCCGTACGGCGATCATCTGGAGCCGGAGGAGTATCATCACTTTCGTCGCTACTCGCTGGCCCAGGAGCAGCCCGTGGAGGAGTATCCCAGCGATGAGTATGTGTACATCTCGCAGATTGAAGTGCGCACAATGACGGGTACGCGCACCTGGCTGAGGGAGGACTTTTACTCGCAGGAACCGGAGGATTTCGAGTGCTCCAAGGAGCATGTCGTGGATCGGGATTCCTGGGCACGCGCTGTGCTCGCCGCAGAGGCAGAGGCTGCCGCCTTTGATGCCACCAATGCCATCTACAGCTACGACATAACCGGCGAGGATTACGACGAAGATCGGCAGCAAGAACAGGCCTTGGACTTGGACCTGGAGCGTAGCAGCTCCAACGACAGCGAGGATGAGCGTCAGACTGTGGTGGAGATTGACGACGAGGATGAGTTCGAGTACGAGTTCGATGAGGGCATCTCGGATAACAATGAGCGCACACAACCGACGGACGAGTCCCACCACGACACCTCCGAGTGCGAGGAGGCGGAGCGGAATGCCGATCGCTATGCCAATCGTGGGGCCCAGGACTGGGAGGAGGTGGACGATGCGGAGGATTTCGTAGACTATGGATTGGATGATGGCGCTGTGGGTGGTGCCACGCCCTACTCCGACCCGGACTCCTTCATCGAGCAGATCTACAACGATGCCATCAAGAACAGGAAACAGTCGGGCATCCTGCGGGAGTACGAGACAATTGTGCAGGAGCAGCTGCCGTCGGACCACAGCGAGTCCTCGGACAAGGAGAAGTCCAGCTCTGAGAGCGAACGCTATGCGCTGTGGGCCAAGACGCGAGAACTGGAGAGATCCAGCTCCAGGCAACGACACACCGATGTGGACATTGCTTTGGGTCTGGGTCTGCTGGAGAGCGAGCGGCGGGACACGGAGATGCGGTACCTGGGGGATGCCCAAGTGGCTGCCAGACAATCCACGCGACTGCGCACTCGCTATGGCTACAATCCACAGCTGCAGGCGAGCATGGAGCTGGAGGATGACATCGAAGTGGATTTGAACTACAAGCCAAAGCGGGAATACAATTGGAGGAAGAATTTCAGACTGGATGATAATGGAAATGGAGGGGAAATGACAGACAGAACGGAAGAAGAGCAGGAAGAAGGCGAACGCTATGAAGAGGAGGTGCAGCAGCTGGAACTGGAGGACTACAATCAGAATGAAGAGTCCCTGCAGTACCAGGAGGAAGAACAAACCAATGGGGAAATGCTCGAGCTGCGTCGCATGAGTCTTGGCGGCGAGAGCATCACCCTCTTCAGTCGCAGTCCCATGCGAGAGATTCTCACCGATGTGCAGGAGGAGAGTTACACCCAAGCAGAGGGGGAAGTCGAAATCATCAACGAGGAGCCACCACCACCTGTGCAGGCCATCGAGCCACCCAGCGAGAAGCCCAAAAAGAAAAAGAGCAAGAAGAAGGTGCGCAAGGGCTCCAAAACGGAGGAGGAGCTGCGCGAGGACAACGATTCGGATACGCAGATGTACGCCAGTCGCCGGCAGGATGATCAGCAGGAGGCGGGAGCAGCAGCAGCCAACATCGAGCCAACACCCAAGCGAAAGACTCGCTCGCGGCGCAGCTCCAAGAGCAGCCTCAACAGCGATCAAGCTGAAGGAGGAGGTCTCTTCTCGCCCCGAAGCAGCTTGGCCTTTGTGGGCGATTCATTGGCTGGCATTGCAGAATTTGAGACACAAGAAAGAAGGGGGGAGGAAGAGGAGCAGCCCAAAAAGAAAACCAAGAAGCGGAAGAAGACCAAGGAGCTGCTGCCACAGCAGCTAGCACCAGAAATGGATCAGTTGGACAAAGATTTGGTTGCTGCTCTCTCGGAGATTGCGCCCGTTTCGGTGTCCTCGAATCTGACGCCCGAATCCACGCAGCAGAATCTGTTGTCTAGCGTGAGTGCGGGTCAAAGTGTGTGCGTGACCCCGGCCTCATCCATCGAGGAAGCATCCCCCTCCAACACCTGCTCTGCTGTGGTGCCCGCCCGCTCCGTTGTGGACACTTTCGACATACTGAAAGATGCCAACTTTTATCCGCTCTTTTAGCTTTTGCTTTTTTGGTTTGATTTAATCCTCAAGCTGCACTCATTTGTTGTTTTATTTTTTATCTATTTCTTATAGACATGTTCATAGCCACGAATACGAGTCCGAACAAACACGAGCCATAGATCCATAGATACTCCCAGCATCCAGCATCCAGCATCCAGCATCCGCATCCTCTGACTGAAAGGGTAAACAAATGCCCAACCCATAGGATCAGAGATCCTAACTATCTATCTATTTATTGTATAAACTGTGTATTATACTAACGAACCATGAACAGATCCCACAAACCCCACAAGAAAAGAGGCCTCTACTCATCATAGATGTTAGTTGTACTTAACGAACTCTTTTTGCTGTCTTTTTAATTGCCGAGAAATAAATGCCAAATGAATAAAAGAAAAGCATTTCGTGTTCTTCGTATAAATAGAAAGCCCCTCCTCCATTTCCCAACGAGTTGCATCTGTGGTTTGTGCCAATTCCGAAATGCCCGAACATTGAGATCATTCACAGGGGGGACGGGACCCTCAGACTGTTGTCATCCATCCATGGGACAACACCAAGTGCACTGACATTCAGCAGAGCCCCATATATTTGTACTTCTATATATATAAATCTTTCGTGGTGGCCCACTTTGCACTTTTGGCTGCCTTTCGCCCCGTTCCCTTACCCATTCGCAGAAATGCGCATTCGCATGCGAATGATGTCACCGTTTGACACACCATTCCGTTTCGGGCCCAATGAAATGGGCAGGAACGCGCACATAAATCCCAAAATGCAAATTGTTGGCCATATACTTAGATTTGCTCGACTTTTAATGCTCACGTCAGGGAAACCATAAACCAAGAGACAACGAACACAGAGAACAAACAAATATTTAATTCCTTAGATTTAAGTGATTCATAAAGAGCTCCTTGGGTGACTAAATGACAGATGGAAAGGTCGGGTGAATAGCTAGAACTTGATTGGCTTTAAATGTGTACAAAATCGAAAAAGATGAGGATTATACAAAACTAAATAAGATTTTGTTAAGGGTTTAACTATAAATAATTTAAGTGTCTCTGAAAGTCTTTCCTTCCTTTAGAAACATTTTCAATCATGCAAATAATTTTAAGGAATTTTTGTAGTGCCTAAAACTATTTTCAAAGGAAGCTTGTCACATGAATTTGGTGTATATGAAGGGTTACCAAAAGCGACAAAAGATAAAAGGAATGTTAAGCCTTAATACACGCATGAGGCAACAAATTTCATAAGTTTCAATGGGGGGAAGACAACCTTGCCCAAAATGAATTTCTAAACAACTTTCTCCTAAAAGAAGACGCCAAACCGGCTGCTTCGTGTGCCCAAAAGTATGCTAATCCCACAAATGCATTTCCTTTTTGTTGGCCAAAATGTGAAATGCCAATTTCATTCATTGAGATCATTATTTTGTTCGCTTAGATGTCAACCCAAAGAACACACACGAATGTACTCTTATGAGGCATATCCCATGCATTTTTCATTGTTTTGTTTTTTTCTACTGAAATGCTGCCAAAGGCCAAAGGAGAGCTGCGTCTCTCTCTCTCTCCCCCAAAAAAGATAACAAATTATTTTGGCGACTGTCAATCCCGCGTGGTTGTGGGACAGGGGGGGGGGGGAAATTCTCTTTTTAAAATTATTTATGACAGGCCGAACAGGAAAGTGTGTCACTCGTGTGATTTGTTTATGCCGCTCACTTTGGCTTTGTTCTACACTTTTCCACACTTTTCCATCTCCTGTGCTCCATCATTTCGGGGATTTATTTCTGTAAAACTCATTACGTAATGCATCCAAAGTGTACAAAACAAATGGCGCTCCCGTGTAGCATTGCCAAAAATGCTGCCAAAAAGTCTTATTCAATAGTTTTGTGTCTTTGACATGAATTCATTTTTCTTACGGAGGCGCACACTTAAAAGCCTGCGGTCTTATATATTTTCCATCAATATATGTTTGTCTTATATATAGAGAACATTTACGTATTTGTGGCTCAAACAATCTACCGCAGAATGTTCACTTGAAATTCTGTTCTGAATGGATAAGTTTTTCTGCTTTTTGTGTGTCAGTTAAATGAAACACCTTTCTTCCAAAACATTTGCTGCTGCAGAACATTTGCTTCTTGCATTCTCAAATATACTAAATATTTATGCAATTTATTCTTGGAATTCCTCAATAAATTGGCAAAAAGCAAACCTATAAAAATGTGCCAAATGCTCATCAAATTGTTGTTTTGGCGCATTTGGATCGTAGACAAACTTCAACTTGAACTTATAGACCCCCCACTGACATCAGCTGTGCCTCGGGCAACTTTTCCTCCGATAAAAAATATAAAAAATTGGAAAATACATACGAGTGGCTGCAATACATACATATATGTGAATTTATGACCCAATTAACGCCTAAACGCCCGCGTGAAAAATGCCAAAATAATCGTAATGAACAGAGGCAGCAGTCGCGGAGAGCCTCATGGGAGCTGTGGAGTGGAGAAACGAAGGAGGAGCAGGCAGACACCACCGCCTCACCAGCAGCAGCACACAACACGCAGCACAATTTTTATCAAAAGATTCGCGAACTGCAATTTTATTTATAACTGAGAAGATTGCATTACACACGCAGCCAACTTCCCCTCGATTCATAGCTCCTGGTGGCTGTGGCTTATGTCTGTGGCGAAAATAGCAACAACGTCTAATATACTACACATGAAATGCATTATTTTATGATCTAAGAATATATATGCTTTATAGGAGCGTATGGGGGGGGGGGGGGGGGGGGGGGAAACTCTTTCATATTATGGCCATGTTTTCTTATAGTTTCCACAACCGCCTTCCAATTCCGGCAATCAACAATTATTATCTCCCCTGTCACATCTCACATGTCTTGGCCACCTTCAGCCTTCAATGTTCTACCTTAATGGATTCTTTCCATTATGGAAATCCCCCTCTATTTTCTGTGTCTCTACGTCACTGGCCGACGGCTTTATTTTCGCATAGAGCCCATAAATCCCCATCACATCGGAGCAGTGAGGGAATCAGTGATTCAGTTTACAACCCAACATTTTGATATTTCAACAAACTGTAAAATATGCATACACCGCCGTATACTATATATATTTTTTAATATTTCTTTTCGTTGCGGCCAATTTGCCAGAACATTTTGTGTTTCGTTGATTTTGTTTATTATTCAGATGATTTGGGCTGTTTTTCAACTAGTTGTAGTTCTAGTTGATGGCATGGTGCGACCTAGAAAGGGGAGAGACCTTGTTAGTTGCTTTCTACCACTGAACTGTCACAATGACATTTTGTTGGCCTTTTTGGCCGACCGCCTGCCAAACCCATTGCTCTCCTTGGCCGACCTGCCCTTAGGTGTCGCGTCCATTTGTCTAATGGAAATTGGCATTTCTTTTTGCTCTTGAATAAACACTGGTTATTAATTGGCTGCGAACGGATTGAATATGTGATTTGTAAAGAATTCTCATTTAATTGAGGCGTGTCAATAATCACAGAATTCACAGAATACTGAATAAAGCCACAGGGAACCTATCTCAAATCTGTTCTTTGGGATGGAAATCATGATAAAAGTTCCTTCCAGCTCTGATGTAAAGATTTTTGCAGATAAATATAACTTAATTAAGGAAACTCTTACACAAAGGCAGACACACAATTATATTTTATTTACCTCATAAAATATTAGGCACAAAAGCCATTCTGCAAGTACATTTTGTACTTTTGAAAATCAGCCATCAATTGATATTTATTTTGATAATTTTGCCCTTGAATATTCAGAAACGTTTCAAAGTCTCCTCTGTTTTGCATTTCCAACCCAAGAAATTATTTGTTCAACTATTTCTCACCTTTCGATCCGCACAAAAAACACACCTGTTGTTGGCCCGTTTCAGTAAACATTTTCTTACCAGTTTTGGCATTTCAATGATGTCTGTGTGCTGTAAAACGTTCGTATAAAATCAGCAGAATCAGAAGAATGCCAAAAAGCACTGCCGTAGATTAATATTATTACGATAATGTACCCACGCAAAAGCCTAAAAGGCTGAAGATCAATTAAAACATCTATATGGCCCACGCCAGAGTCCAAAAATACCCCACGGGTGCGATAAGTGCAGGAGGCACCAGAGTCAGATGGGTATAATAATACTACCATCTAGCAGATCCGCAGGTCAGAGGGGTAGAACCAGCAACAACAGCAGACAGAAATCATTCGAACCCATAGCAATTTATGCTCCATTGGGGATGGATCGAGCCGTGTGTAGTGCAGTGTGGATAGGGCAGGGCTGCCGCCTCCACTCTCTCTCTCTCTCTCTCTCTCTCTCTCTCTCGAGATGTTTGTCTGTATGTGTGTGTGTCTGCGAGTGCTACTTGTGTGTCGTGTGCACAAAGCGCCAGGCAGAAGGCAAAAATGGAACTAAAAACATCACACAACATTTCGTTGGGTTGAAAAAATTGAAAATTCGGAATACCCATTGGTAGTGCAAGATGGAGAGAGGGTATATTAAATGTTAGAAAATATATGCTAGAGGGTAAGAATGAAGAACTCATGTTTAAATGACTTGACTTTATTCTACATTCACTCACGAAAAAACCGGAAATAACCTAAGAAATCCACTCAACTTTCAATGAAATCTTCAAAATTCTACAGTACAGGGTATCTGGAATGTCTTTCCTTCAAATTCTTTGCCATTAAATCTCTAAAATGGTTATGTGCCGCAGCCGTCTGAGGCAGGTGTGCCAGCCCTCTACGCCCACCTTTTGGCACCTGAACCGTAATTCCTCCTTAGAGGAGAAGGCGTAAAATATCGCTAACAAATTGGCAAAAAATTTGAAGAAAGCATTAGCCCAGAGATGTGCATATTACATGCACATTCAATAATGCCGTTAATTATTGGCAATATTCACATTGTCTGCCGCCATCCATCAACCCAACGAATTCCTCTCCCGATCCACCCATGCATGCGTTCGCGTTCGCGTTCGCTCTCTCTCTCGCTCTCTCTCGGCATGCAATCTTATGGAAAGAGAGCGCGAGGCGTGACGTGGATCCCTCTCTTTAGCCTGCTGGTCTTGCTGCTGTTGCTCTCCGAGATTTTATTTTTACACATGGCTGCTGCGAAACTAGATACAAAGCGAGCAGAGGCTCTGGCAGCGGACAATATTCAGACTGGTTCGAAAACATTTTCGGAAACCGCTGCGCCAGTTGAGATCGGGATCTCGGCGGCAAAGTTCAAACGTTCTGGGACCCCGAAAAGAATCCTCAAATCGAATCGAAACGAAACGCGTTTTGCTCCTGCACACAGAAACGCGTACACACACACACACACACACACACGCAGCCATAGACAGACAATAATTATAGAAAGTTTAGTCGGTCATTGGAGTGTGAG